TAGTGTAAATGAGCATGGCATTCTGTCCAAAGAAGTTGATTTTACACATAGTAACTGACTTTTAATTTTTTTATCTTATGTTTATTACTGGACTGTTTCAGCCTTTCGTTTCTGGGCATACAGTATAAAGGTTGAAAATCAGACTTATTTAAAATGTGAAATAAAATTACTCTGACATTTTTATTTGTAACTCAGTATTAAAAAGCAGATCTGTCCCTAGATGATGTGTGGCTGTGATGGCTGAGAAATGCATCAAGACTGAATTCAGTACTGGTATGCAGCTTGATTGGAAAATAGATTAATTTCTTAATAAATGCAGTTGTAAGCATTAGAAGGGTTAGAGCTGGAAAGCATTCTTGGCATTCTCTAGGTGGAGACATTGAGAAGAGCACATCAGACTTGGCATCTTTTTTCTCTCCAAGCTGCTTCTCCTCTCTGAGATTTTCCTACAAAATCTGCTTGCGCTTGTCAGTCTTCCACAACTGATTTATTTGAATTTGCCATGTTGGTTTATAACATTTTTTATTCAGTTTGAAGTTACTATCTCAGGGTGAACAGCTCTCCTTCAGTTTCAGAGATTTCTTGAATGGACTTTGTTGTGTAACACCTAACCACAGATTCAATTTTCTATTTATTCTTTTATCATTTTTCAAAAAGCCCACTGTACATTATGTTAGGGTGACATAACTTCTGATAGAGAAAAGTAGTTATTTTTAAAATAACACTGTAATAGCTTTAAACAGAAAGGAGTTATTTTGTTTAAATTTAACACTTTTAGGAAGATCTGCTAATAACTGTCAAGTGTCGTGGCTGCAGTTAGTAAGCAGGACAGCAAGATTTAGTATCTCTTACAATAATGTAATGCTAATTTATAAGTAGTATTTCAGCTTCTATTGGCTAGTGTTAAAAGCCATTGCCACCATACTTGTTTCCCATTAAGGAGTAGAGAATTTCAACTATGGTCTGTTAAATTAACCAACCTCTGCTTATTTTTCAGTCTAGAATTAATTTGGTAACAGGTAATCACCTACTTAAGTAATTTTTAGTTTCTTCATATTATTTGCTAATAACTATAGCTTTTGCTTAATACCTTTCACAGTCTGTGTAAATTACATTTTTCCTCACTGTCTTTTCACTGAGCAACTTGCAACTGTGCATTTAAAACTATGTTTCAAGTCTGATGGTGCTGGAGAAGAGACAATAAAATCAGAAGAGCTTAAATGGTTAGCATTTAAAGAATGTAATGTATTTTATGCTTGCTAAAATCTTGTTTCTCATGTAGTGATATTGACCATGTAGCATTTAGAAAAGCACACAAGAATAAAGTACTCAAAGCTTTTCCAAAATATTTTAGGTTTTTGTTTTTAAAAAATCGTGTCAGTAACTCACAGTTTATGCTGTACGTCCAGCTCTCAAATTTTGCCTACAACTGGCTCATTGGATTCTACCAACAGTCAGTAAAAGTAAAAATCCTAGAAAAAAATAATTTCTCCCAAATTTAGATTTTAATTTCAAAATTTTATCCCTTCATTATCTTCAAGGATTGCCATTCTTTAGTTATACAATACCATCTCTGACTAGCTGAGGTGGTTCTTTTGGGATTGGGGGGAAAAAAATGTGTTGCTGGATCTGCAATATCATGTCTTAATTCTTCATGTGGATGAAGCATTTTTTCATCAAAAAGCATTTCATTAGTTTCTAAAAATATACTGCCTTAATCTATACATCCACATGGACATACTATTTATGTTAGGTAGAATGTGTTCTGTGAAATCACTGAGTCAGCTGAGGAGAAAATAGGCTCTTCTGGTAAAATAACTGTCTATTCTCCCATCAATAGGATCAGGTCGCAGAGGAAGAAAATCATTTATTCCAGCAACCCTACAAAAATTGGTTAAAAAAATAGAAAATCTGTAGGACCTTTGAATTGTGCTTATTCACCAACTGCTACTAAAGTCCAGGTTTTGTTAGTCAAGTTGATTTTGATTAAAATAATTATAACTTTTCATACCAGGTATCACCTGTAAGTTGTTTTATACACAGCTCTACTAAACCAGGCTCTTTGGGGGTACTATTAAATCTGTTTGATGCAAATATCTCAGAAGAAAGCTCCTTTAAAGGCACTCAAGCGTCAGTCCCAGGGAGAGTCTTAGGCACAATCCCAAATCCACTACTGTAGTGTGAGATCCTGATCTGAGAGCCTTCAAATCAAGATGGGTGGATGGTGCTGTACAGTGAGAAGTGTTTCTGGAACAGCAATAGATTGTTTTGCTGTTTTGATGGGGCATTTTGATTTAAACCTTAATCTATAAGACTCATGTGCAGTGTGATAGAATAGAATGCACTTATACAATTACTTTGAGGCTTAGTTTTTCTAGGGTCTGTACCAATGTAAAAGAAATAGATAACCCAACCCAGAACTTTCAATGTCTTTTTCTGACCTTTAGTATCTCTTTATTCCTCTCTTCTCCCGCTCTTTCAGCAAGAGATTAAGATAATCTACCAGGGCAGTGAAATAGCAGTTGTGAGAAATGTCTTAAAAGCTATTGAAGGCAAATACTTCTCTTCTTAGTTGTTAAATACTTACTGAATGAAACTTTTTTTTTCCCCTATAGTCAAGCTGAGTTAGGCAGGCATGTGTCGGGCTACTCAGCTGCTTTCATCAGAAATGGTTTATATTAAATTAAATATAGTTTCTTTTTCTTCTTTCTTTTAAGATACAGAGTTAAATGTTCTTAGTTTCTGGAGGATATCTTAAATAAAATGGTGGAAATTATAAACTAATTTTGATGAATAAGAATGCTGATTAAGCATTTTGCATTTTCTGCTAACTTAACTAAGAAACTCTTCATATCAAATAACATTATATTTCTTTTTAAATGCTCTGCAGTAGGAGACTTAGAATCAGGTTTGCCATTTATTGGTAGCTGGAGCAATTACTACTGCTTCCGTTAACAGCTGACATGTAAAATTCAGAAAACTTTGTAATAAATTGTGTTCTCTTACCTACTGTAAGGATCTCTGTGTGCTGTTTTGTGTTGGATTTTCAGTTCTTGAATAGCACTGGAATACTGGTATGCTTATGTCTTGAAAATAAAACTAAAATGAAAAAATCTCAGACATCAGTTAAAAATAACGAACCATAAACAGTTTTCTGGTGTTGAAAACAACCATTTAGATGTTCAAACTCCTATTACAAAAACAACCATTTAGATGTTCAAACTCCTATTACAATTAGAAGAGCAACTCTCCTAAAAGAATAATTCATTTAAAATAATCTATATAGTATTTTTTATTAAGCTACACTTTTTAATTTTTTAAAGAAAATAGCCTTTGCTTAAAATGACCCTATTTACAAATGTAGCACATGTGACAACATCTAGTCATAGCGTGATGAAGCAAGAATCATTCATTGGTCCTCACTTTCCTTCCATAGCTGAAGTCTACATAGGAATTGGGAAGCCTGCGGAGGCCACAGCGTGTACCCAGGAAGCAGCTAATCTCTTCCCCATGTCGCACTATGTTCTGTACATGAGAGGTCAGGTGGCTGAACTTCGTGGCAATATCGATGAAGCCAAACGCTGGTATGAAGAGGCCTTATCTATTAGTCCCACCCATGTGAAAAGTATGCAGAGGCTGGTAAGTCTGAAGTCCGTGTTCGTGAGTACTTTTGTCTCAACTTACGATGTTGTACTGTGAAATCTTAACTTGGTGTGGGTAACACATAGCTAATGAGGTTGGGATCTGTATTCTTATTAGCAAAATAGCTTTCAAAACAGTCTTTTCTGGGATTTTATGCTCTCTTCTCTGTGTGTTGGGACATAGAAACGATCTGTAGGCAATAAGACTATTTCAGTCCTAACAGAGAATTCAGAAAAAGAAGTCATTTACATCTGCCTAATATTCAGTGCTGTTGCGGAGTAAAGGCAGCTCATGGTAAGAGAAGAATTGGATACTGCAATCTAGAGGAAAGACCGGTCATTCTGCTGTCTAATTCCAGTATAAAAGTTGAATTCTATGTGTTAATCGATTAGCTTCATACCATGTGATTTCTTGGATTTTTGAAAGGCAGAGAATCAGTCTTGCCCTCAAAGGAATGTGTAGCCTTAAGTACAAAAGTACATAAATACCTAAGTTTGTTCATGTACTTCATATGTACATACATGCATATATTCTGTACTTACTATGTTACGAAAATTACTTTCCCATTTTAATCCAGTTTTCTTCCAGATAAAGGACAGTAGAACAGCTGCAATCAGCTTGTTCAGAAGTAGGAGCTGGTTTCTGCCTAGGTGCTTATGAATTATTCAGAGAAATTTCTCGTGAATCCCTGAGGGGAACATATGAGACAAAAGATCAGATAGGAAGGCAGCACAGGGAAAGTTTTTTGTTTCACCTTTTCAGCATTTCAAGATATTTGAGCCTACTGACAAATGCCAAAAGGTTCCTTTTTCTGAAGAAGCAGGCTGTCGACCCAAAGCAGTGCTCTCAGTGAAAATGAGAGCTTATGTTTTTCTGGGTATCTTTTTGCCTCTTCTCTGAATCCACCTTTGAATAAAGAGTCTGTAAACATAGGATGCTCTTCAGAATGACTGAGAAACTAGGTGCTCTAGGGGGCATGTGAGATGAAAAATACTGTGCTTCCAATCAGGGTTCCCTTTTTAGGAAATTTTCAGTTTGGGTGCGGCCTGGAGGATAACTGTCCATTTCATTTGATTGGCCAGCCCTTTCTAAACATTCTTATAATTTAACATTTTGTTTTTAAAAAGCTTTCTCTAGACTTTTTCTGTACTAGGTTGTTGTTGTGAATGGATTCCGAGAAAACTATGCTGCTTAAATAAAAATATTAAAGATGCGTGCTGTAAAAATATTTACCTGTGTAATTCTATGTGGGGGAAAACTACAAGATTCTGTATCCTTTTTGCTTTTCTGACTATAGCAGAAAGTATTTTGAGAAGGAAGTTTGCAGTGTTTACTCTTGCCTGTGTGTATAGGTTAATATCTGTACAACTCAACACTTTGTTTGTATATTTGCACATTTATTATAAAGAGATATGATCTCAGGGGCAGGGGAGCTACAGCAACAGCAATGTGGAGGGTACCAGCTTCTATAACAACTGCTGAAACATTAACTTGTAGTATTTGTGTTCACAATTCTAAGCCAACAATTAGTTTATGAACCAAAGTGCTGTGAAAAAATATCTTATTTTCTGCGATTAATTTGATGTTTTAAAATGATTTGATATAGCTTCCGAGCAATGCTTAGAAAGTAATACAAAATGCTACTGTGTCAATGTAAGAGTTACCTTAGATTTGTTTAATAAACTTTGGTGAATTTTTTGGGGAGAGGGGGCAAATACAAGTATAAGTCATAATAATTTTATGAATAAAATGCAAAAAAATGGAAGTAAGATTTAAGGATGGCACAATGACTTGCCGTTGTTAGGTAAGCAGTTGGACTGTATGATCTGAAAAGACTTTTCCATCCTAAATGATTCTATAATTCTAAGTTCTAGCATGTAGAATATGTGTCCAGACCTTCTTCTCCAAGTTAAATTAGTTGAAATAGTTGAAATTGAAATGAGTTTTGAAGGATTCTTTTTCTTTTAATTAAAATTTTAAAATTAATGACATCTGACAGTAAAATTTTTGGATGCTAGTGGTTTAGAAATCTGGATCTTTGATTTGAGATATTATGTGTAGTTGTCCAGAGAAGCTGAAAAAAATAAATGAATTATTTGTTTTTATATATATGAACAAGAATGGCATATTTGGAATAGCCAAGATTTCTCCTTTTATAATCCATCCTTTTCATGATGATACATCACTCTTGTAAGAAGGATGAAAAATTAAACTTTGCAAGCTTTAATATTTTTCCCAAAAATCTTATTGGCCATAACTCTCTTTAAGTACTTATTCCTGATTATGATCTACTGTTTCTGCATAGTAGCAAACTTATTAATCTAAATTACTGAAGAAATGTGTGACGAAAGAATAGAAAGTTGAGCCTCGTGGCTTGAGAGCTGATGTGCTTTCTCCTGTGAGCTGCAGCCTGCCCTGTGCTTTGGAGTTTCTACGTAAAGACTCTTGCATTTATCTGAAATGCAGACTCCATGTTTTGCTAATATGACTGCAAAGACATGCTTTTTGCAGAACTCTTAACGTTTTATCTGAATGCAGTTTCCTTTTATTGGCTGGTATGATCTGTTAAAAGACTGTATTTGTCTGAAATTACAATTTTTCAAGGAAACAAGTTATTATTAAGTAAGATCTCTGAGATCTTCATTGATTTATTCCTGTTCTAAAGATTTACCAAAACAAAAAGGAGGAGGACGTGGTGATGGTGTGGAAATTGGAGCAGTTGAGACTGTTGGAAGATACCAACAAAAGGATAATGATAAATGGAAGAATTTAGAGGGAGAGGTTAACTTGCTGTATTTGCCTTGGTAACGAAATGCCTAAGACAATGTGACACCAAATGATGGAGGCTTGATCCACGAATAGATGAGAATTTGCTAATGTGTATTCTGCTTAATTAAACATCTTGGGAAACAGAACTGATTGGATATACTCTTAACATTACCTAAGAGGGACTTCGTTTAGAAGTGGACCTGGTAGACTTAGCTAGCAGCTGGACTTGATTTTAAGGGTCTTTTCCAACCATAATGATTCTGTGAGACCTGGCTGGAGGAGGCAGTGTGTTCGTGTTCGTGCTCACTGCTCTTTTACCCCTTTCTAGAGTGTGGGGAGTTATTCATTAAATCAGCTGAATAGCAAAACTAGTTCTTTCAAAGAGAAATGCAATTAAAAATTCTCTGTAGTTGCTTGTGCAGCTAAATCATTCCTCATAGAGTTAGTGCTTAAATCGATTCATTCAGTGTGTTCTGTTAAGCAGTTCTCATTTTAAGATCTGCTTTGTTCTCAGGTGCTATTTTTTACGATTTGTCGCTACCTGTAATTTTCTCCAAGCCAGAGGTTATACCAGCTTATTATTTGGGTAGCTCTGGCTGCTCACAAGATGTCAAGAGTGAAGCAGTAACATGTCAGTAGCAATTAAGTGTACTTCACAGAGTGCAGCAGCAATGCTTTGGAACAAATGCAGTGCCCTTTCTTGTTTTTAAGGGCAGTATAATGCACTTGGGGAAAACAACACAAAGGTGGCTTCCAAAGGTTTGAAATTCTTCAGTTTGTGTTCTGTATTTAAAATCGCTTTTTATCACAGCCCAACAAATTTGAAATTTTCTTAAATTAATAAATTCAGAAATTATGATTCACAGTTCAAGTGAATGTCATAGATACTTGGTTGACACTTGTCTGATTCTGACAGGAATGGATTTTTTTGAACAACTTTCTCCATTCTCCTTACACTTTATCATCACCTCCAGATTTCTGCCTTCCTGCTTTTGTCATTGTTTTCCTCCCCTGAAAAAAAATAAACAGTCTTTTATCTCCTGCAATCAGAGTGCTATTGTGGAAAGTAGCCCTTGCTGTTGACATGAAACAGGCCATCATTCACTAATGCCTGAAATGGCAATGAATACTTCAATCCACTGTCCAGGAAACAAATCTCTGTATTCTCTCTCAGGCTTGAAAATTTCTTAGCTAAATGTAGCTTTGACATGAATTAGTTTTTCCAGCATCCATATATTGCTATAATCCTAGAAGACTAGTGTTTTTTGAATATTAAGTAATTCATGATAGCACTTGTCAGTTAATCCTATTAGAAGCTTAGCTTCTGAGAGTAGAAGACTAAAAGAGAAAGGGGGAAATTAATTATCCAAAAATTACTGTTGTAGAAATTAGTTTTCAAAAAGCATTATCTTAAAGAATTATATTTACCACTCCATACTGTTAGGTATCTGTTAGAATTTCCTATAACTATGCGGAACTCAGTCACATCCCTTAAGGCTTAGATTAACTATGTGTGCTTTACCTCTCAGTTATAAATATATTGTTATTTATTTCTAACTATATTAAGTGCTTAGATTTTTCTTTTTTCAACACAAATATACTTTGCCAGAAAGAAGCTTGATAGTGCATATGGGTAGTGTATGTGTATGAGCCTGTCAAGCATACTGAGCTGACTGAAGGAAAGGAAAAGCAGAGAAGACTTTAGAAACACGAGTTCAGACCCTGTTTGAAGGGATCAGGGGAGTTAAAGAAGAGAAGGACTGCACACAGTCACCCAAACTAACTTCTTTCCTGCAATGAGGCTGTATTCTCTAGTATTTATTCTTCCTTTCATAACAAAGACATCAGCTACAGAACATTCACTAAGTCATTTGATTTTCATTGTCAGACCTGTATACTGTAAAAACTCTGTTGGTTTTGGCCACATGGGCTTGTCCCAACCACATTATGCTGGTTCTTGTGGGTGGTTTGTTGTGTACCTGATTACCATAGAGCTGAATGCTAATGCCAAATCTCAGTGCTCATTTGACTTGCTCTCTAAGTGCATCCTTAGGCACACAGTGGCCGAAGAGGAATGGAGGAATAATGGTGATCGGGTTTGTTAGTTTTGTTAGTGAAATATTGTGGGTTTGCCCTTCAGAAACTAAAAGGTTATTTCACAGAAAGTAGAGAAAGCAAAACGTACATCCAGCCAAAATCTCACTGCTCCTTAGAGAAGGCATTTCACT